TTCAAGTTATAAGGGGTTGTGATAGGTGTATTTATCAAAACAATCACTATTTTTTCATTAAAAAATTATTTAAATAGGTAACTTTACAATTAAGCAATGACAAATTTGAATTTTTCACAAAAGTACAATGACATTTTGGAAATTACTGTACTGCAATTTTATTTGTAGAGTGCCATTGTCTTTTAGTTAAAATTTCAATTTTACCCCTTATAGAGATGACAAAAATACCCTTTGTCTTAGAGTAATATTTACCAATGGGAAAATTTTTAATAAGGTTGCCACCTTAAAATGTAGAATCACAGATGCACCTCAAAAATCTATCGGAAATGTTGCTTTAATGTTGAAAAAATCCACTAATCGATCATCTCAACATCGAGATATATAAATATGAAAAAAAAAAGTTTTCGAGTCTCGGAAATAGTGCATATTGCAACACATTATCTAGGCCGTACATTTTCAAGATTTTCATATATTTATAGATCTACTTGATTTTAACCATTTTTGGATTTTAATATTTTCTAATTAGGTATGAAAATAGATTTTAATGTAATACTAAGAATTTCTTACAACAAAATTACATGTTATGATAAAATTTTAAGGTGCCCTTTAATTGGATTGTTTAAGGTTGCAACTTTATAAAAACCACACCTTTTACAAATTTGTCCTACAAAAGTAACTTTTTTAAAAAAATAGATTGCAAAATTAATAAATCCACCCTTCACAACTCTCTCTATCTTGAACCTTTGTAATTTGAAGGGTTGTGAAATTTAGAATATGCCTATATATGTATAGGAAGATGCTACGGTATGCCGATTCGTGTACCGCTACAGTAAACTCCGAACGTCCCATATCGAATCTGGGCCGATTTGACGATCATAAATGTCCGACAGTATTTTATTTTTCATTTTGTTTTTACAAATCGAAATGATCTGAAATTTGGAACGTATATTCATAAAAAATAGGCAAATCTACGAAAAATATCAAAAATATATTTTACATGAAATAAATTGACCAAAATACCCCTGAAAAGTTTCAGGGGTATTTTGGTCAATTGGTTTTTTGAATTATTTTTTTATATTTTTATTAGGTACGCCTCACTAAGATGTACATATGCTCTAAATTTCAGATCATTCTTATTTGAAAAAAAAATTAAAATTCAAACACTCTCGAACAACCGTGACCGTCAGATCGGCCAGATTTGATATGGGCTATTGAACGTTTACTATATTGGTACGCACATGGACGTACAGGAACTTTTTTCATATAATATATATATATATTCATGTCAATAAAGAAGAATAAATTTTAAAAATTAAAAATATAATTTTTAGTTTTTTTTATTCATCGTCAATATATTATTCATGGACAATACACTCTACATAACGTTAGGATGGATGTTTTTGTGTCAGCGAGCCCGATGACTCATGAATTTTTCCTGAATAAATGCGTTCTCTGTTTTTAAGTTCCTTTTCATACGTAGGATCTCTCAGAATGGACCCAAACCGTCGATCCATAAACCTTGTATGTGAAAGCATAACACGTGGGACCGACCAATTCTTAAAAGTAGACTTAATGGAAGCGATTAAAATTAAAACACCAAAGGTAGCAAACACGTTCCCCTATAGACGTGATAGCAAGTAGAAACATTACTACTACT